GTTGAACGTGTTGTGAAACCGAGTCCCGCAAGGCCTGAATCCCGTTCTCTACGGTGGCCAACTCACGCATCTCGTTCTCAATAGCGATTTGACAAGTGTTCAACTGATCAACAAGCGAGAGAGAGAGAGAGAGAGACAAATCATCATTAGCCTCATCGTCATGGTACAGTGAGATACAGTGAAGCGAATTTCACTGATCACTGCCAAGTTCACAATGTACACAAAGTAAGTGCAGGAGAGGGAGAGAATTTGAACCTAATTGGAGGGAGGAAAAGACAGTGAACCTCTATCGTCCACAAAAAGGGTACACAACCGGACTGTGCATACATACCGTTTTGAGCATTCTGATCTGATAAAAAATGACAGCAAGAACACCAGTGCTGTCGGTTATATTCCATTTCCATTTTCAGCGTCTCCAATCAACCAGTTACAGAATCTTTTGGAGCCCTGGACCTGGAAGGCGAGAGACATCTACATTACCTAATAGCTATTTGCATTTCTTCATATCTCATCCGAAGGAATTGGATAAGCTCCTTCTGCAGGCAATGTCCGCTGAGGTAGACAGTAATTAGAAGACCAAGGTTGGTGAGACCTGGCAAATAGACATGGATGGGGACCACTTCACCAGTCTATTCGATGGGTAGAAAAACTGTGTGGTATTGATGAATATTGATCATGGAGGTACTCGCAAATCTGGACTGCCCAGTTGGATAAAAGAGCAGAATAAACGTTGGAATGTTGATAGCAGAGTCAAAAGGAAAACAGAGAATTCATATAGACTGCGGTTGCAAGAATACTGAATAAATACACGAGCACCACTGCTTGCGATGCTCAGCGTCTCCAACCACCGGTTTCTATGATCTCGGTACCCTCATCCAAGGAGCCCAACGGAACCTATATGACCTAATCTCTTGGTTAGGGTTTTCATACCCTCATGCCGAGTTTTAGTTTGACCACCCTTGACCTTTTTCCATCCACTGCCTACCTCGACAAACATCGCTCGTCGTGGCACATCTACTCACTATCTACACACATTCGATTAATGTGCACTTCAAAATTTAATCTTGGTAATGCTGTAAGCTTTTTACTTGTCCTTTATTCCTTTTTTTCAGTGGCTGACCTAAAAAGCGACCGAAAGACTACGATTCAAACCAGAGCATTGAAAGTGTAAAGTTATTGATCGCGTAAACTGAAACTCCACCTAGGGAGCAAAAATACCTTCAGTTGACGTACACCGTGGCTAGGATTTTGTTGATGATGATATAATCATGAGAAGGTGTGGCAATGAGAAACATTTTCTGTGGGAAAAAGGCACCAGTTTGCATTTCCACATTAAGTGTAAGTGGCGATTTTGGTGGACGGATCACACTCAACCAGACGATTTTCGAAGGGCTTATAAATGATGCGCATTTGCGTGGTGCGGGTGGCCACAATCCAGGTGTGAAGACAAACAGACGAAATCCGGGTTGGTGAACTCCGAACAGCTTGCTCATATCTCGTAACTGACCAGCCCTGATGTTAAACCAGTCCAAGAGTGCACGAACCGGATAGTAGCGGTGCACAAATTTCGTGTAAACTAGATGATCATCAGTCCATTATGTTAGTAAGTAGATACATTATAACTGTCGAATGCAGTACCAACCGCATTTCGGTCGGGTCTCATTTACGTCCGGCCAATTGTCTACTTGGAAAGCTCAACCAGTCGCTTATCTTTGCTACAATCTATAAAGCCTGAGAAATTTGCGATCAACTCTTTCTACTGTTTAAAAACGCATGTGTAAAAAGATCTCGTGCGTTGGACGTACAGCTGTCAGTCGTTTCAAATAGGTCTGGATACGTTCCCTTGTTGCATTGTCCCGTTTCTCCGAGTACCGTAATTGACACCGATCCTCTTCGAGTACAACATCCGGCTCCACGTAGAGAAGCCTACCCACGAGTAATTTCTGCGAGGGGAGTGAGGTTCGGAACGGATTACGAAGACGTTCACACACACACACACACATACACACACACACACACACACTAACGGATCACTCACATCAAACTGGTCGAATAAATGGTCCTGTTGCGCTTGAAGTTTGTATTTGAACAAATTAATCAACTTCTCGATTCGTTCTGGATTCAACTTTGTTCCATACTATAGGAGCGGACAGAAAGAAGAGGTGCGTGTAAGCTAGTCAATGGTCACAGTGGCAAAATGATTTTTGAAGAACGAGAGACCAAAGAAAAGTGCTAGCACATACCCGTTCTGTCAGTTTTTCACCGAAGCGATCAATTAACTGACCGAGATTATCATTGATCACATTATACACTGAACAAAGCAATCAGACCCAGCAGAAACCGATGCACACATACCATCATCGGCTAATTGTAACGGTGCGAAACCAAGCACTTTGGCGGCCAACTCTTGTACCGATTCGATTGCCAATTCCACCGCCTCTTCTTCTTCTTCTTCTACTGCAGCTACTTTTTGCTCCTCGGTTACTGCTTCAGACATTTGGGAAATGGTTAGAGAGGAGGGCAGTCAGATAATTCAAGTGTTCGAAGTTCCATGCTAAAAGGGAAACGGAGAATATTTGTTTCATGATCGAACGGAGAGTTAAGAGCATTCCGCTGCAGAAAGTATTCTGTGTTGTGGATGATGGGGTCGTTGAAAAAAAAACGGAGTACAAGACACAAGCTACGGGAAAAAGCCGCGAGAGTTGATGGTTCAACTGGTAGACCTAGTTTTATTGAACACTACGTACCCTAAACAGTAGAGGAGGTGAATCCTCTCAAGAACCTCATAATTATCATCATCGCACAGATAAAGATAACCTTAGTAGTAGTGTCTTTTCGGCTAGTATTTCGCGCACTGTGCCAGCTTGAGCTCGTATTGCTGTTTGTGCTCTTGTTGTACCACCACTGCTTTGTTCCTATACTTGGTTTATTGCACCTGAGACCTTCGGTTGCCAAATGATCTATGGGGGTGTGCCATCTCCTATTCCTACGCCGTATCGTTCTTCTAATCGCTGGGCTCCACCACGGTAGTTTGTTCTTCGCTGCCCTGGGTTTCAGGGGAGCAAATTTACCCTGAAGGAGCAAGGTATTTATTTTGACCAGGCTATAGTGCTGGTCTGTAGTGGAATTCTCCAGGCTAGGGAACCACTCCAGCTTCGCAAGTCGAACTTTTAGTCTTGTCGTATCTATCGTCCAGTAGTTCCTAAACATCCTAAAATTACTTCTAAGGTGCATCAGACGTAGTTGGGCATTGAGGACGTGGCCACTTCCTGGCGGTGAGTAGTAGGTAACTGTGGTAACATCCATCTCCCTCGTCGTAATTAGTAAGGAGGGATGGCTTGTCTCCTCTGTACCCGGAGCACTCCTGGAAATGTTATTGCAGGGTCCTCGAGTGCATCCATTCTGGGTGTTCCTGTTTGAACCCGCTCGAAACCTCAGTCAATTTATGGAAAATTGAAATTCCCCACTATACAAACGCCTTGCGACTGTCAGTATATACTATCTTCATCTTTATGTACAGAAGGTAGAGGGGCCGCGCCCCGTATGAGCCTCTTCACCGCCGATACCGATAGCAACCCGCTCACATGTCTGCAAGTTGCCACCGTCTCACCAAGTGCTCATCGAGACGCCGTTTGAATCACGCCTCGTTCTGCTCCTCCACCACCTCCGACGGGAGCGAATTCCAGAGAATAGTCACCCTTCGGGAAAGGTGACAAACCAAAGAAAGTCCCGTCGACTCCAGTTTCCTGAGAGCGAGCTACGTGTCCGGTTGCAGTCTCGCGGTGGAAACAGCACGTGGTTCCGGTCCCAGATCGCCACGAAGAATCTTCTGCAGACAGATCAAATCCCCGCGGAGTCTCCTGTAGCTAACCGAGAAGAGTCCAAGTGCTTGAAGCCGACCTTCATAGCTGATCCCACGAAGTCCCGCGACTAGTCGAGTGGCATAGCGCTGTACCTGCTCCAAGTTGACCATTTCGGAAAGCGCGCAGGGGTATACAGCGGGTTCACCGGGGTGCGAACAGCTTGAAAGATATGAATGACAGGTCACCAAATGACCGACGGATAGCATCTAGCATTCTCCTTGCCGCAGAACATGCTCGCACGGTGTTCATCTGGGTCTTCATGGATGAGGAGATGATGACTCCTAGATCTCGCTCGTTTGCCGTCGGACGTAGCGAAACGTTGTTCATCTGATAAGGAAGGTCCAGTGTCCCCCGTCCCAGGCACACGTGTGCATTTCGACGAAGTGAATGGAAGTTCCCAGATATCTGCCCAGTGGAGTAACCTATTCAAATCCTCTTGGAGAACAAGGTGGTCCTCCGGCGTTCTCATGATTCTCCACAATTTCACATCATTCGCAGAGAACAAGCGAGGTAAGTTTAACCGGGAGGGCGTCTTATACGAAGAGAAGGAACAATACCGGTCCAAGGACAGAACCCTGTGGCACCCCACTGGTGACTGAATAGCGACGTGACTCAATCTGGGCAACTCCCACGGTAAACGTCCGCCGGACGAGGAGATCCTCGATCCAGGGTAGCAAGTCTAAGACATCTTAAGCCTTCAGCTTCTTCAGCAACCGTCCATGCGACACCTTATCGAAAGCCTTGCTGAAGTCAATGAAGATGACGTCTGTTTAATGGCCAGCGGCCTGGGCAGGCGTCCATCGCTCCCGAGCAACTTGCAGATTCGAAACATGATCGCTGCGGACGGAATCTATGCAGCTTCGGACACAGAAGGTTGTTCGGCAGGAGGTGTTCTCGGAGTCGTTGAGCGAGTACGCGTTCCATCACCTTAGCGGTCACAAAGGTGAGATTGAACGGGCGGTAGTTGGCAGGATCCCCGCGGGC